CTGGTTTAGTCATCCTGGCTTCTTGTCATCCTAGATCCAGGGTTGAAGGTCAGTAAATCTCCCAGAGCTGGGATGCCTGAAGGTCCGAGTTTGTATATGTTGAAGATAGTTACTAGGATTCTTATACAAACATGCACTTTTTATCTGTAAGCTACATATTAGTCAGGGTCAGCACTTACAGAAATGTCAAAAGAATGGTGGAGTGGGTTATAACTTCCCGCCATTATAATTTTCCACTGTTACATGAGTGTATGTAGCTCAATTCATTTAATAATTTCCCATAGATGGACATTTATGTTGTTTCTTGTATTTTGCTAATATTAAATAATGGCAGTAGAGACCACAGTATTGTGCACTTTGATGAGAACATCTACAGGACAAGTTCCTATTCTGGGTTAAGGACAAGAGTATTCATTTTGTTTAGATAAGGACAGATGTCTTCAATATTGATAGTTACTGCCAACTTTCCGTCTAAGAGGATGAGCCAGTGGATGACCCCATGAACAAAGGACAAAACTCCTTGTTACTCATACACTTATCAACATTATTATCAAACTTTTTAGTCTCTGATCATTTGACAAGTGGACATTGATTCTCATTGCTATTCTTGTTGTATTTCTTTTAGTGAGGTTGAGCATTTTTTACATATTTCCTATTGTTTTTTTCCCCTTTCTTACCATTTTTCTGTAACCACTCTAGAGACTCAAACATCCAAGGTTAAAATCTTGGCTTTTCTACACACTAACTCAGTGAACTGGGGCCATTTACTTAAATTTGTTGTGCCTCGGTTTCCTCTCGGAGGATAATAACACACGATGCCATAGGGTTAGTGTGAGAATTAAATGGGCAAATGGATGCAAAGTGCTTAAAACACTGTCAGGCACATGTAAAGTAAGCACTACATAACCTATCATTCATATTCCTTTTTAAAATTCTAAATCTTACTTTTCAATTATGGTTGACATTCAATGTTATTTGGTACTAGTTTTAGGTGTGTAGTGCAGTGGTTAGATAATCACATAGTTTACAAAGCGATCTCCCCGATATTTCAAGTACCCACCTGGCACCATACATAATTATTATAATATTATCGACTATATTCTCTATGCGGTATTATACATTTGCAACTACCAATTTGCACTTCTTAACCCTTTCACCTTTTTTATCCAGTCCCCCAAGCTCCCTCCCTGTGACAACTATCAGTCTGTTTTCCATATCTATGAGTCTGTTTCTATTTGGTTTGTTCATGTATTTTGTTCTTAGACTGCATGTACAAGTAGAATCATATAGTATTTGTCTTTCTCTGACTGACTTATTTCATTTAGCATCCAGGTCTACCCATGCTGTTCCAAATGGTTAAGATTCATTTTTTTTGTGGCTGAGTAATATTCCATTGTATATATGTACTACAACTTTTTTATCTACTCATCTATTGATAGGCACTTGAGTTGCTTTCATACCTTAGCACTAACTCATATTCTTCATGCCGGTTGCCCACTTTTCTGTTGCAGTTGTCTATGGATCCACCTATTTAGTAGAGTAGCTTTTTGACTGCCATATATGTTGCTTATTTGTCTTTCATCATTTGACTTTTTTTTTTTTTAAGTATTACATTCCATGCAGAAATGCTAAATGGCTTGTTGAACAAGCTCAAAAAAGTCAGAGGCTTTGGCTATAAACAAATGACAAAAATTTATTCAAGGGTCTTACACAACTAAGCAATACCCAAATTATTCCAGAAGAGAAAGAAAAGTTTGAGAGTTTTTATAGTAAAAAGCACATGTTTGGAAAAAAGTCAGTCCTGTATTGTTAGTGGGTGGGTTGGCTAAGGATGGTAAGCTTCCAGATGTCCGGTGGTCTGATTAATGGGTGCCAGGTTGTCTGGATGTGTTTTTTCTTTAGTATGACACACGGTTATCTGTAAGAGATATACATCTTCAGCACATAAACATTCTTGAGATTCTTCAGAGGTTTATTTATAGAATTTAGGTATTTACAGGCACTGGCACACAACTGAAAGTTCGAAAGTTTAAGTTCTTGCTCTAGTTAAAGAAGAATAGAATCATTTCTTCATGCCTCAACCTATTTGATTTTAATAATTTAGCAGCTGGATTGTAATGACTCCATTTTATTTCTCCCTTCTTTTCCTCAGGTTTTTGTTATGATTTTGTAATCATAACAAGCATTCAAATTCCAAGATAATAAACATGAATCATGTCTTTTTTTTTCCTTTAGGAATAAGAGGCTCTATGTTAGGGGATAGACAATGAGTAATGGTTCTAAAAGTGCAGGATGTGTAACAGGGCACATCCAGGGCCCCCCCCCAAAAGGTATTTGTGATGGGCCCCGGAGATTAGGTTGTCAAAGGAAAAGATATTCTCCCCGTTCCAGGGCGGGCCGCCATTGGGGATGGGAGCCTCGAGCAGGACCATAGAGTTATTTTGCATGTCAATAACAGGATAGCTTCATTCCTCATATGCAAAAAGAGTTATTTTGCATGTCACCAAGGCTAATCAGGAAGGTTTAAAAGACTTAATGCAGAATGTAACTGGGAGGGAAGAGGAGAGACTGGGGCCTGCGGGATAGACAGTGGCACACAGCCTCTGGGGAACAGTGTGAAGACCACGCCGGAAGAAAGAAGGGAGAAAGGACTCTGGCTAGTGGGCCATGAGAAGGTGCCACATGGTTTTGGATTAAGAGCTGGAGATCACGGTGACGCAGCGGATGGTGCTGAGACCCGCGGGAGGCCTGCCTAGCCGAGCCCCGGACTTCTGTTCTTTTCTTTCTGAAGGACGGTACCCCTGACAAACCTGACTGGCCTAACTGGGCAAAGCAGGGGAGGCAGGACGGTGTGTGCGCTGGTGATTCTTTTAAAGAGATTTTGATGTTTAAGTGCAACATTTAGCCATTAATCAAACCTGTATAACTTTTGAATAAATAGTTCCTTTCCTTTTCACCAAACTCTGCCATTCAGAGCCATAATTCCAAGGGCGGCGGGCAAAGGACCTACAACCGAGGGACCCCGGGGAAGGGGGTGTCGTTTCGGTAACTTCATCTGGGCACCCCCGCCCCTCCATGGGTCCATTTATTTGGTAACAGAGGGACCCAAAAAGAATGCCTCCCCCTCCTCTCCAGAGAACAGCGGCCAGTTCCACCTGTGAGGACTGTGGGACCCGGTGTCAGGGCAGGTTTAAAGGGTTTAGTGAAGCCAAGCAGGGCTGAGGACCTGGGGCCGCTTGGTTCTTCATAGCTGGGCCTGGAGGTTTCGGGAAAGCCAGGTGGACAAGTGAGTGAGTGAGTGTGTGTGTGTGTGTGTGTGTGTGTGATGTGTGTGTGTGACAGAACATTACAGAGACAGGAGTGAGTCTTTGGGGTAGGCCAGGGGCTTGTGGGATTAACTTGGCTCTAGATTTTGCCAGGGTTCTCGTAAGGTGGTCTCTGTGAGGCCAGCAGAGGCACAGGCTAGGGTGGGAGCCTGAGTTAGAGGAACCATTGGATGGTGCATTCTTGCTGAACAGGAATTCTGATCCTCGGTCTCTCTGTGTTAACAGCTTCCTGTAACCCTTCAGAGGGCATTTAATGAGTGCAGCCTGGCACTGAGTGGGCTCATGGTGCTGGCCTGTGAATGCAGAGACAGGAGAATGTCAAGGACCGGAGCCATCAGGACTGCTTCAGGGAGGGGTTGGAGGGCGGGCACTGGGCAGGCCCTGGAATGGGGAAGTGTTGCTCGAGGGGAGGCTGAGTCCTAGGCCTGAAAAGCACTTGGTCTGAGGTAACAACCTGGCCAGCTCATTGGCTGGGGCTGGCGGTGGGCTAAAGGTGACTAGAGGCTTGTCAGCTGTCTTTTTTTCCAAAGTCTCCTCAGGGCTATTCCTCTATTTATTCTGAGCTGGGTCTGGAGAAATCGCCATAGGGTGGTGCAGAGGGGGTCACATATGTGGCTGAAGGCTACTAGGAAAGGAGGTCAGTGTTTAGCTGTCTCTGTGTCCAGTGTCCTCTGTCCTAGCCCAATGTTTATGCCTATCTTGGACTGGGTTTGAAATTGCTGGGAACTTTTAAACAGAAAAATGTCAGGGGTAAGGGGACAGGGAGGAAAGCACACTGCACAGAGGTGGAATCAAAAGTGTGCATCAGTGTATCCACAGATACACCCTCCCCCTGAACATAGACTTTCACTTGTATAAGGATGTTCACAGACATGCCCAACAGCATATTGGGCTGTACATGCAGAGAAATCCCCCAGAAGTGAACAGACATCTGCAGTGTCCTGAATACACACAGGTGTCCCCTTCCTCTACAGAGGAAACAGTGGACAGGGTAAACATTCCCACCTGCCTGTGGGCTTCACATGCCTGCTGGAGTGAGGAGGAGAGGGGTGAGAGGTGGGGTCACACCCCACTTGGCCTACTCTCCCTATAGAAATGAGGTGTAGGGGCATGTGGCCAGGGAAACCAATGAGACCAGGTATACCCTGGGGTCAGAAAACTCAGGAACTGAGCTGATTTCTGGAGGAGAGCCTGCACTTGGAGGGAGGCTGTTAGAGAATGCTTTTCTGGCTTTCAGTAGTCTGGGGGTGGGGTGGGTGGGAGTGTATTCTTGGTCTAGAGCTTTTTTGTTCACCTCTTCTGGCACGGGGTAGGGGGTGTGTGTGTGTGTGTGTGTGAGTGTGTGTGAACTTACATTTGATCTCTCTGCTCAGGCCTCAGGAATCTAGACATTCTTCACCCATTCCCCATGCCCCCTCTAGGAAGCTTCCGAGTCTGGCTCAGACCGTTGTCTCCTACAGCTCTGGGGGACTACAGTCCCCTGCCCACTCTGGACTACTTGGGTTTGGACGGAAAGCTTGGGCTTGGCCTGGTGGGCGGCGCGGAGGGCGGAAGCACGGCCCTGGAAGGGGCGGGGAGGGGGGGCGCGCAGAGAAAGGTGGCAGTCGGCCAGCTCCGCCCCTACCTGTGTAAGGCGATCGGCCGGCGCCTAGTGGATAAAAGCGGCCAGGTATCCCGAAGGTCAGCGAGTTTGGCTCCCTCTGGCCCACTGCTAGGTCTAACCGGGTGCAGCCAACATGTCCACCCACTTCAGCACCCAGGTCTTCAGCTCGCGCTCCGCCACGTTCCCGGGGCGCGGTGCCCAGGTGCGCCTGAGCTCGGTGCGCCCGGGTGGCTCCCGCGGCAATAGCCTCTACAGCTTGGGCACCTTGCGGCCGCGCGTGGCCGTGCACTCCGCCTACGGGGGTCCGGTGAGTCCCGGTATCCAACAGGTCACCGTCAATCAGAGTCTGCTGACCCCGCTGCAGTTGCACATTGACCCCTCCATCCAGCAGGCACGCCAGGAGGAGCGTGAGCAGATCAAGACCCTTAACGACAAGTTCGCCTCCTTCATCGACAAGGTGAGCAGGCTGCAACCTGCCCGGAGCCACGCCACGCTCCAGGCCAAGCGGCTACTGAGCCCGGACTGCACTTGGGCTAGGCGCTGGGAGAACTAGTCTTTCTTTCCGCCAGTACTGGGAGCTCCAGAGGCCAGGGCCGAGTTTCTCATTCCGGGCCCCTTTCTCTGTGAGAGGGCTGTGTGGAGGCGGCGGTGAGGTAGGGGTGAAACGCCCTTCCCAGCTGAGGAGGTCCCCGCACCCCGACTCTCTACCCCGAGGCAGGTGCTAAAAATAAAGCGCCGGAGGGAGGTAGGGAGGCTCCCGTCACACCCGCCCCACCCGCCCCACCTTACCTGGTCCTCCAGCTTCCCTTTGGTGGTTGGAAGTTAGGTGAGGTTATAACTGTCTTTGGAGACAGCCCATTTGGGGGCAGGGAGGGGGAAGGGACATCTGGGAGGTGTTCTTCCTGGCAGTTTGGGCCCCAGAGGGGTGAGAGTGGGGAGAGTCAGGGCTGGGAGGGAGGGGCAGGCTTGACTGGTGGGCTGAGATGGGGGGCAAAATGGGGCTGGACCGGGGAACTAAGGGCTATCGCAGCTGGGCCCCCCTGGCCAGGGCCTCCTCCCGCAGGTGTAGACCAGGCCTTCTCTCTCCTGCCTTTGTGTACCTACCTCCCCACTTCCCCGGCCTCCAATGTCCTCTTCCCTTTCGCCATGTTGACCAGACATGTCCTTCAGATTCCACTGAAGCCTCCCAGGCCCAAGTTCCTTTCCTCTGTCTCACTGTCTGCAACCCCCATGTCCCGCCGCCTTGAGTTGCTGGTTCTGAGGAGGCTTGCTTCCCACCCACAGTCATGCAGGGTGCTCCTTGGGGGCCTTTCAGGCCCCACGGCTGAGTACAAAATAGGTGCTCATTTTACACTGACTGGGTTGTAGCACCCTGTCCTGAGGCCTTGCTGGAGGAAAGGAGGAGGGGAGAGAAGATACTGAGGGAGGAGAGACAGGTCCCACCCTGAAGGCAGGAGGCTGAGTCAGGCCCAGGACACAGGCTGGAAGGGGAACCCCTTCAGGGAGGGAGGTGGAGATCCCCTGTAATGCGATGGGGGCACAGGAGGGAAGAGACCTTAAAGCACAGCCCCAGGGCACATCAGTGAACCAGGTCCACCCGACCCGTGGGCTACACTCTAGGACACTTGAGACAGAGATTCCTGGAGAAGAGGCTTGTCCAGGGTTATTTTCCCAGAGAGGGCTAAGGGCTGGGGGCCCAGGTTGGGGGAATGGCCAGAGGGAGCATGGTTTCTGCTGGGAGGCTGGAGACCCTCAACCCCACAGTGGGCAACATGGTCTGCCCCTCAGGAGTTTCCTCTTCTGTTTCCTTTCTAGGTGCGGTTTCTGGAGCAGCAGAACAAGCTGTTGGAGACCAAGTGGGCTCTGCTGCAGGAGCAGAAGTCGGTCAAGAGCAGCCGCCTCCCAGGCATCTTTGAAGCCCATATTGGTGGCCTGCGGAAACAGCTTGAGGCCTTGCAGATGGATGGCGGCCGCTTGGAGGTGGAGCTTCGGAACACACAGGGTGTGGTGGAAGACTTCAAGAATAAGTACTGCCTCCCAGTGTGACTTGTGGGGGAGTGGGAAGGGTGGGATCTGTGCCTTGCTTGGGGCCGTATCAACTGGACCTCTGCAAGTCCCCTCTGGGTTAGGGGGTGAAGCTGCTTAGTAGACTAACCCGTGATGGGTCTTGACTGACACAGTCCCTGCCTATCCTAGTCCCTTTGTCCCTGGGGGCTGTTTCCAAGTCTTTCTGGTCTTTTCTCCTGAGTTACCCCCAGTAAAGTATCTCTGCCTGGTCCTGAACTGCTCTTTTCTCTTTGGGTGCCTGACCAATACCCCGAGAGAGTGTAGGGCAGGAGGTCTAACAGATGTGCTTCAGAAGTCGTGCCGCTCTCACTAATTATTCTAGAACAACTTCATTTTGTTCAGGTGAGGAATTAGGGACGAGAGAGGCCCAGGGACTTGTTCGAGATCACACAGCAGATCATTGAGAGAGCTGGGACTTGAAATTTGGGCCCCTGATTCCCAGGAGGAGACATGGAACCAACTTGGGCTGGAAAGGAGCAAGGAGAGGGAATGACCTTTGTGAGCCAGGGGAGCGGCTGCAGAGGGGCGGGGACAGTCAGGCAGGGGCTGTGAGAAGAGAGGAAGCTGGTGAAAAGGGGCAGGGAGTGCAGGGGCCAGGAAGGCTGGGGTTTTGAGGATAGGCCTTTGAGGTATCCACCTGTTTTCTTTTCTCACTGAATAGAAACCAAAGCTTGAGGCTTGGGCTGTTCCCCACCCTGGCCTTCGTGCGCTGTGGGCAGTGTGGGTAGTGAATGAGTTCTGTGCCCTGCCTGGAGGCGCATGACTAAGCCAGAGCGGGGACACTGGCACTGACTGGAGGTAGAACAAACAAAGGCCTTAGTGGAGAATACCCACCTCCTAATGCCCCGGGGCAACAGTCAACAGGATAAATCTCACAGCAGGTGGAGTGAGGCAGGTGCTGGGCAGGGAAGGCCTTTGGCAACCAGCAAGCCCCTTTTGTTCTGTGCATTTGTCGATGTGGGCACACGTACTTTCCCCACCCCAAAGCCCACAGAGCTTTCCTGTGGAGCCAGGCTGAGCTCTGGGCCGGGGTTGAAGGAGGCACAGGGAGAGGCCTGGGTACAGCTACCCAGCAGCTCCTACCTGCACACTGTCTGGGCCCTGGGACGTGTGGCCGAGGCAGCGCTGGGCAGACAGCTTCGGTGGACAGATGGCTTCGAGGATATTTCCATAACTATTCTATAGGACTTGAGAGTCCAGAATTCTGGAAGGAAGGTCGCTGCCCAAACACTGCTGAGTTTCTGTTTCTGACACCTTTTTATTTAAGATTCCAAATAAATCCTGGGTTAAGCCCACCTGCTCTCTTGCTCTGTGCCCTGCTTTGACGGTGTCCTCCTATGTGTGGGGCTGGCTCCTGGGGAGAAAGAGGAATGGGAGGGGAGATGGGGACCAGAACACGTAGTTAAGGCCTGGCTATTCCAGGAATTTATGCACCCCTCCCTGATTCCACAAGGCTCCTCCCTTTCAGGCCCATCTTCCCCCTCGGGGTAGAATTAGGTAGTGGTTAAGGCCGGGGCTTGGAGTCAGACTTCCAGGTCTCAAGTCTGGGCTTTGCTACTTAGCAGTTTAGTGACTGGACAGATTACTCTGCATCTCAGAGCCTCAGTTCCCCGCCCTGATAATCATTTTACCATTGTTGTAAGACTGTTGTGAGGATTAAATGAGCTAATGCTCGGGAAGCTCTCGACAGTGCAGGCCCCACGTGAAGTGATCTATAAGCATAGCTTTTATTCTTTGCATTCTCCCAAAATATGCAGCCCTTGTCCTTTAATTCATATGTTCCCTGCTCTTCCACCTCCTATCCCATGGCAAGACTCAAAGCTTTAGGATTCGCCATATGGAAAAGTCAGGGACATTGGGTTTCATAGCTGACACTTGTTTTTTCAGATGTGCCACTAAGGGGAAGGTGAGGGTGATGCAGGGTAGATCTTCACACCTGGGTCTGAGGGGGGATGGAGGCAAAGCTGTACCAACACCATGCCCGCCTCCTCTACTGCAGGTATGAAGAGGAAATCAACCGGCGCATGGCTGCTGAGAATGAGTTTGTGTTGCTGAAAAAGGTGAGGGGGGCAGGTAGGAGAGATGGGGATGTTGTCTGAACACGTAGGACAAGGGATCACATGGCCTTCTCATCTGAGCAGCCAATAGGGACCTGTGGCCAGGGTCTGCCTTGGAGGATGACAAGAAGGGAATGATGGGCTTGGGGAAGGAGAGATCTGGCAGTCAGGCCCTTACAGCGTACCCTGTCTTGTGTGTGTGTGCACTTCTGTGTTTGTGTATGTCTGGTTAGTTACTAGACTTGTTTCTGGACTTGGAGGGGTTAGAATTAATACCAAAGAATAGAGGTTGGAAAGGGAGATTCCAATCCCAAATAAGGACATGTTCAATCATAGTCTGAACATTTCAGTACGGACAAGCGTGGCACAGGGCAGGCCTGAAATATTTGCTGAATGAATGGAACAGGCTGCCTTGAGGCAGAGTAAGTTCCCTGGCCTGGAGAGGTGCAAGCCAAAATTGGAAGGTCTTGGAAATATCTTGCAAGGGCTTGATTTAAGATTCTGGTTCAATGCACATTCACTGAGTAGCTGAGTTTTCCAGGACCATCCACATAAATGCATCCTGCCCCCAGAGTGCTGGGCCCTTGGAGATTCAGGGATGGGTACAAGTGGGTACTACCCATAGGAGTTTAACCAAAGGAAAGTGTGGCCAGAAAGGATCTAGGTATCATCTGGACCTACAGTGTTAATCTGTGGCCAACCTATGTCAGAATCACCCGTGCTGCAAGTTAAATATTCATCTGAGAGTGGTGCCCTGGAGTCTGAATGATTTTATACTCTCTTATTTGCCTGATCAGAAACTCACAGAATCGAAGTGATTTGTTCAAGGCCACATACCCTGTAGGTGGCAGAACCAGGGGTGTGTCCAGACCACCAAAGCCTTTAAGAACTGGTAGAGTGCTGGGTTTGTGGCTTCAGGTCGCTCTGGGCTACTGGTACTGAGAGGGGGCCTCTGGTCCTGGGGCTTCATGGAGATGATGTCCATCATGCAGCCCGAGGGTATCCAGCAGAGGAAACTTCTGGCCATGTGCATATCAGGCAGCCTGGAGAAATTGTGTGTTTTATAGTAGGGCAGTGGCGTTTGGCCTTGAGGTTGAACAGTGCTGCCTTACCCCCACCCCTGCTAAATGGTCTGTGTACTTTTCACCACCGTCCCCAGGATGTGGATGCTGCCTACATGAACAAGGTGGAGTTGGAGGCCAAGGCGAATGACCTGAATGAGGAGCTCAACTTCCTCAGGAGCCTCTATGAGACGGTGAGGACCTCAGGGCTGGGGGGCTTGTCATGACCCACGTGTCCTAACAAAGTTGCCATCTGGTCCACCCCTGCCTCTGGGCCAGTCTGGGTGTGTGCTGACTGTGTGGGGGTTCCTTTATCCTCCTCTTCTTCCTTTCTGGACAGGAGTCCTTGATGGTGGGGAGTTCAGGAGGAGCTGGCCCTATCAGAGCAGGGTGGTAGGGTCCATCAGGATTGGCCTTTTAGAGACATGGAATGGCCATTTGTCCGGGAGTGTGATGGGGCGGGCTGAAGGAGCCGGGAGGATGTCAGGGGATCCCAGGCTGTGACAGAGTTCCGCGGCAGGCTGGGTGGGGCAGGCGAGGTAGCCTGAGTCAGGAGAGACTGGAGTGCCTAAGAGTTTCCACCCAGAGGGGCTGGGTGGGAGGCTGCTCACCAACTGGCCTCTCTGTCTGTCCACCCTCCCATCTTATTCTCTGCCACTGACCCTTGCCCAACCCTGGGCTTCCAGCTCTTCCCTTATGGGACTTAAAATCCTTTTCATTCCCTTCCATGTGAGGCTCTGGCCTTAGGTAGAAGATAGGGTGGCCAGTCGCCTGGCAGGACTGGTCTGGGACACAATTCCACATGACCCTAAATGCAGTTCTCATTTTTCAGTTCAGTGTAGCCTGTGCCTGTATATTCAGCCTCCAGTAGCCTCTCAGAGTGAATTTCCAAGGGGCTGGATCCTTGGGGCTTTCTTCGGGCATTTTTAATCTTAGTGCAGGTCTTCATATGTCTGTCACATGCCATATATATTTGTGTCTCTCTCTCTCTGTGTGTATGTGTGTATATGTATGTATAATTATTTTCTTCTCATTATAAAATGTGTGCTTGTTGCAAAAAACCCAGAAAATTAAGTAAAGCATAAAATTAAAAATAATACACCTATACACCCTCTTATCATCTTGGTATCTACCTTTTCAGATTTTTTTTTCTGTGCATATATATACAGAGAGATATAGAAGTCTATATTTTAATAAAAATAGAACCATAATCTTTCCATGTAATGGTATGTCATGGGTATATTTCCCTGTCCATAAATACAGCCATGTCATCCAATTTAAAGGCTGCAGAGTGTTTCATTGGGCAGAATATGACTTATTTTACTCACCCCCTAGCGACCCCCTTCACAGTAGATAGAGCTCATACACCCCGGGGGGGCACCTCACAGCAGGGACCATCACAGCTCACACACCCTGTCACTTTTTTATCTGCTGTAATCCCACCGGACTCCTACTTGAGGAGTTGCTAATGGGCTCTTCAGGGAGCCAGGGTGGGAAGGACCGCAGAGCGGATGCTGCGGGTCTGTGCGCCCTCCCTGCCTAGAGACTCACACCCACTCTGGCCTCTTCTTTCTTTTTCTTTTCCTGGTGTGTGGGGAATCCCAGGATGGGCCTGGGAACAGGGGTGGGCCCTGCCCCAAGTCCCCATGATCTGCCTGGTCCCTGCAGGAGTTGTCAGAGCTGCAGGCCCAGATCTCCGACACATCTGTGGTGCTGTCCATGGACAACAGCCGCTCCCTGGACCTGGACGGCATCATCGCCGAGGTCAAGGCCCAGTACGAGGACATCGCCAACCGCAGCCGGGCTGAGGCTGAGTCCTGGTACCAGACCAAGGTGTGCAGCCACTGGGGACATAGTCCTCCTGTAGAGTCCTTGGTGACAGTTTTCCTTACTCTTCACCCTGTCTCAGGCCTTTAGGGCCTGGTCCCACTGTTCTCGGGGGCACCGGTGTTTTAAGTCTGTCGTGTTCTCCAGTGTCCTGGGAAAAAGAGGAAGCAAAGGACAGGGCCCTTCGCTGCAGAGGGTGCAGGGCAGAGGAAGTGGGCATAGTTTAACAATTATAATAGCTAAAATGTGGCAAGTACTCATAGTGCTAGGCAGTATTTCATGTTTTACCTGTATTGACTCATTTAACGCACAGAACAGCCCTATTAGGTAGACACAGTATTATCCCCTTTTTATATTTAGATGAGTAAACTGAGGCACAGAGAGGTTCAGTAATTTGCCTAACTCCACACAGCTGGTAGATGGAAAAGCGGGGTCCTAGGGCTGCCGACCAGGCATTGTGCGGAGGCAGCACAGCTGACTGCGCAGGTGCTGAGGGAGTGGGTGGGGCTGCTGGGGGAGGAGCCTGAGGCTGGGTTTAAAGCTGCACGGAGGGAGTCACCCACGGTGCAGAGGTGAGAACACAGGTGTGCCAGCAAGGAGACCTGGGCTCAGATTTGCTGTGTGGTCCTTGAGTAATGCCTTCATTCCCTGGGATCACTCTCCTAACCCGTGAAGTGGGTAGTGCTGAGGAGGGAGTGCTTGATAGGTGAGGATCTCAGATTCCCAGTGATTCTCTAGCAGTAGGGTTTGCTGGGAATGGGAAGAGCCTGGGGGTCCATGGGGTGGGCCCTGGGAGCCATCCTTGTTCCCTCTGTCCCGGCTGGGAGAACACCGAGCCCCTGAGTCACCCCACTGCCCTATGTCTGGCCTCTTAGCAATGGGTGAAGGTTGCTGGGAGTCAGACTGCCTCTCCCGGGAAGAGAAGCTGAGCGGGCTGGTCACTCAGAACCTGGGGCCTGCCTTGGGTGGGGAGAGGGACAAGTCCCCTGTGATCTTCATTCACCGCTGCCATACTTCTCTGTGTGGCTGTTCCAGTTCGAGACCCTCCAGGCCCAGGCTGGGAAGCATGGGGATGACCTCCGGAATACCCGGAATGAGATTGCGGAGATGAACCGGGCCATCCAGAGGCTGCAGGCTGAGACTGACAACATCAAGAACCAGGTGGACACAAGCACTCCTCCTTGCTTCTCCCTGTTTCTCAGGGCATGCGCAGGGTAGCCAGCTGACAATCAGGAGCAAGAGGCTGGGGGCGGGGGTGTCAACCCTGCCCCCCCCCCCCCACCAGGCCAAGGCTGGTACAGCTCAGACCCACTTGTGAGAGCCCCAGGACAGAATGTTCTTGGCCAAGTTTTGGCTCAGACCAAAGGGAGGAGAGGAGTCCTAGCTGGGCATACAGCCTATGGAAGAAGCCTCAGGCTGGCTGGCCAGAAAAGAACCACCTCATTACCCAATTGGTACTGAGCACTCTCCTTGCACCTAGCTTTGGGTGCAATATGGTATATCTGGGAGCTCACAGTTGTGGGGAGCAGCGGGGTGGGGAGGGAGGACAGTGGCCAACGAGAACCCTTACTGTGGCTCACAAGGCCCCGTCCCAATCCTGACCTCACTTTCCACCACCCCCCCAGTCTACGCTCCAGCCACACTAGCCCGCTTCCTGTACCTTGCATTTGCCAGGTGTCTGCATGCTTCAGGGCCTTTGCACTTGGTGTTCCCTCTACCTGGAATGTGGTTCTCCCAGCTCTGTATGTGGCTGCCCCATTCCTGTCCCTGGGGCTTAGGACAAAAGATCTCACCGATAGCCTTTTCAGTAGTCCGTCTGAAGTTCCCTGAAGCACCTATCACTATCTGAAATGTTCTGTCTTATTAAGTACTGACTGCCCCCCACCTCCACTGGAATGCAAAACATGCCTTAGAGCAGGGGCCCCATTTGTCTGGTTCACTGCTCCTCCCTTCCTAGCTCCTGGCACATGGTTAGGGCGCAGGTCTCCGACACCAGGCTGACGGGAGAACATGCTGTGAAGCTGGTGTGGGGGGTGTTGATGAAGGAAGGGTCTTCTAAGCCCTGGCGGAGGCAAAGGGGTGGGAGGGGCAGCTAAACCTGAGCAGGTGTCTGCACTGAGGAGGGAGGGAAGGTGACCAGTGCGGCAGCTTCAGAGACCTAACTTCCAGATGAGATGGGAGGATGGGATGTGGGGGTGGTTTGCCCAGAAATGTCCTCCCCTCAAACCCCTGAAGACCTGTTGACATGAGGGCGGAGGCTGCCTCTGGCACAGATGTGGGGCCATGAATCATCAGGGAAGCAAGCCAGCCTCCAGGCCAGTGGGGAGACGCGGCACATGGCGGGTGCCCCAAACCCTGCAGCTTCTGCCGTATCTGGGTCTCCTCCTACACCGCGGGGCAGAACCAGGCCCCAGAGTTGGGGTATCTGCCACCATTGAGAGACCCAGAGGTAGTGGGATGGGCCTGGCCAAGGGGCACCAATATAACACGGAAGGGCGCTGCCAGCTGGATGAGAGGCAGAGAGCACCAGAGGGCCCCCTGAGGAGAACTGGGGGGATGGCCAGAGAGACGGAGCACATGAGCTGAAGGGAGAGGATATGAGGGCAGGGAGCGGTGGGTGAGAAGGAGCACTGGCCTAGGGCATGGGGGTGGCGGCTGTCTGAGCTGAGGAGAGGAGGCCAGCACTAGATAGGCTCCCAGTGGTGGGGAGTGAGCTACAAGCAGAGGGAAGACCAAGGCCGGGCAGGAAGTGGCAGTTATTGCTCAGGTCCATCATGAATCTGACCACTTCTCCAAAACCTGGGAGCTGTCAATATGCATTTTGGATCTGGGGGTTCCAAGCAGTGTCTCTGCTCCAAGCCCCCCTGAGCCAGGCCTGTTCCAAACTGGCTCCTGTTTTGAAGGTGGTTTTGGTTCTTATCAGCTGCCTGAAATTTGGGAACTTAACTAGGGTCCTGTGGCTTTGGAGGTTCTCCAGCTGAGGGGTGGGGAGCAGGGCATTTGCAAATCATAATAACATTTATTAATAATACTAATCCTAATAGTATTTATTAAGTGCTTACTGTATGCGAGACACTGTGCCAAGGACTTGTGTATTACCTCATTTAATTCTCGCAATATCCTTATGAGGTAGACACTATGATTATTGCTGTTTTAGAAAAGAGGAGACTTTGGCCCTGGCTGGTATGGCTTGGTTGGTTGGAGCATTGTCCTGTAACCAAGGGTTTGCAGGTTTGATTCCCTGTCAGGGCACATGCCTGGGTTGAGGGTTTGATCCCCAGTCTGGGCACATATAGGAGGCAACCAATGAATGTTCTCTCTCACATAGATATTTCTCTTTCACATCAGTGTTCTTCTCTCTTCCTTTCGCCCTTCCTCTTTCCTGAAAAGCAATAAAAAATGCCCTCAGGTGAGGGAAAAAAATAAAATGAGGAGACTTTGGCTTAAAAGGATTGATTTATCCAAGATCACATAGCTGGCAGAGACAGAACTGTAACCTAGGTATTGGGTATCAGAACCCATGTTTTTAACCCTTGGGATTCTTCGGTGCTTGGGGAAGTAGGCTGGTGCCAATGAAACCCCAGAAGCAAGTTGCCGAGGGGCTCACCGCAGGATGGGGAGGCAGGAAGGCAGTGACTGGTGAGGCCTGCCCCCACCTCACAGCTCCTCTACTGCCCACAGCGTGCCAAGTTGGAGGCTGCCATTGCTGAGGCTGAGGACCGCGGGGAGCTAGCACTCAAGGATGCACGTGCCAAGCAGGAGGAGCTGGAGGCTGCCCTGCAGCAGGCCAGGCAGGACATGGCCCAACAGCTCCGGGAGTACCAGGAGCTCATGAATGTCAAGCTGGCCCTGGACATTGAGATTGCCACCTACCGCAAGCTGCTGGAGGGCGAGGAGAGCAGGTGAGATCACCGAAACTGAGAAAGGGATCCTTCTAAGACTCAGTGGGGCCTGGGGCTTGACATTCATCCATGGACAAGCATTTCCTATGTACTCTCTGCAGGGCGCTGCAGATGGGAGGTGCAGGGAGGGTATAGCTGATGGTTTCTTCTTTGCCCTTGATGAGATGACCTAGAAGGAAAGACAGTGTGATGTAAAGCTCAGTGGAAAACTTGAAGTAATGTCTTCATGTCTGTGGCCATTAACAGGGTCATCTCTGATCCTTAGAATACATTCAGAGAAACAGGTCAGGTGTTGTTAATACAGAGGATAAACTGTGGTTCAGTTTTATTAATTGAGGGGACAGGGCTGGTGTGCAGTCAAGCTCTACTGATTTCTGGTTCAAGCGCCTTGCATAACTCCAGGCTGCTTCTCACTACTCAAAGTGCTAAGTCATGTGGTATTGACTGAATGTGGTGGAGCAGGTTAATTTCTCCCTGTCCCAGAGATATTTGCATCCTCACTTGCAGCCTATGAGGAGGCGGGGATGGGCTAGTCTTATAGGGAATTCTTTATGAAAGACAGAAGCTATGTCCATGAAGTTGTGCGTTCATTCTTACCTTTCTGGGTTGACTGGCTCATTCAGTCGACAGATGGCTTTAGAGTGGACCTTGGGGGAAGGTTAGGATTTGGTGAGGGTGAGAGGGGACAGCATGGACAAAGGCCTGGAAGTAGGTCTCATCATGGCCTGGCTTGTTGGAACCCAACAGAGATAGATAATATGTAAGACATGTTTCTGCCCCCAGGGAGCTTGTAGAGGAGTAGAGGAGGCAAAGCATCTACAAAGGAAGCATTCAGGGACCAGTAACTTGGACCTGTAAAATGCTGAGTTTACAAAGAACTTTTCCTTTTCTGAGCATTATTGCAGAGGGCTGGGGACAGAAGATGGGACATGAATGGAGCGGAGAGGAAGGAGTTGGGGAACAAGAGAGCACGGGGGCAGAGTGCCTGAAGGCTGAGATTTGTCTGGGAGGAGCATTGGGCAGGAGGAGGGAGGTTGCCACCTAGTTTTGTGGAAGAGGAATTGAACACCAGAGGCCTCTGGGAAGGGAGAGTAGCCAATTTGGCGCATAAGGCAGCCCATGAGCCCAATTGTCCCAGCCAAGGTGCCTCTCTCTGCGCCCTCCTCCACTGTGGGTGCAGGAGCCTCACTTTCTTGGGAATGCACACCCCGGGGCCTCTTTTCCTCCTAGAATCAGAGCCAGGGGCCCCTTAGAGCAGGATCTGATCCACTTTCTCCCGTGGGCGAATGAGGGGGCTGAAGCTAGCTGAGTGGCATGGCCAAGGTCACTCCGCAAGCTGGACAGTCCTCCTGAAAGCCTAACCTCAGACCAGGTTGCCATCACCGGGCCTTAGATCCTGGTGCTCCGAGAGGAGACTGTCTTCTCTCCCCCACTTGGGGGACATGGAGATGGACACCTGGTTTTTATCCTCTAATCCCTCAGCCCTTCCCAGGGCAGGTCTAGGATTTAGAAACTCATCCAATTTGGGAGGACTTTTGTTAGGGATACAAAGTTACAAATATAAAGTTAGGTACAAAAATGAATATTTATTCAGGATCAGAAAAGAAAAATCACAAATCACAGGAGTCTGAAACGTTCAGGTTCCCTCCTTCTGAATTCTTTAGGAATTGAATGCGTGTATGGGATTGTTGCCCAACTGCCAGTAACTCCCAACACTTGCAGGGGCCATTTGAGCAAGAGGCCTGGAAGCTTCCTAGTACACCCATCTGCTGCTCTTGGCCGTTGCTCTGCCCCTTGGACTTGGGGCTGCTGAGACCAGGTGGCTCCCTCACTCCCCCCACAGATTTGAGGTGTCCTCTCCCTCCTGCATAGTACACTCATCCTCAAGGCCAGGGGCTTGGTGACAACATGCTGTGTATCACAAAGCAAACACACCCAGCTGTCTTGGGTGGATTTTTAATTTCCAATGCAAGACATGTTTCAGCCCCACAGGCTGCTTAAAGCTACCCCACCAACCTCCGCAGTCCCTGCTGGAGCTGCATTCACTCAGTCCACAATACACTAATTGCTTCAACACATAGAAATTACCATGCCCCAGACATCCTGCAGGGACTGGAGAGACAGTCATCAGTAAGCTACAGCTTACTTTGAGGGTTTTATGACCTGGTTAGGGGAAGCAGCTGCCTATGTAATAGTAAGAGCGGCTACATTTACTGAATCCTGTGTGTCCAGAGCTATGTCATTTACCCCTTGCAAACAACCCTGTGGGGTGGGTACTGACTAAGTTAGGCCCTATTTATAGGTGGGGAAATGGAGGCTCTAAGACATTCCCAAGATCATGTAGCCAGTAGGTAAGAGGGCCTAAATGAACCCTGCTACCCACTCCTCCTGGCTCATTTTGCAGCAAGGCTGAAGGGAGGCTGGTAGTGTGGGGGGCGCAGGAAAGAATACCCATGCTGCTTGGGGTTTGGACAGAAGGGTGCCTGGGAGTGCCTCCTCCAGTGCTGAGGCGAGAGCTGCTCTCACAGGCCTCTCCTCTACCCCCAGGTTGAACGGAGATGGAGTGGGAACCCTGAACATCTGTAAGTCCTTGGCTTTGGCTCACCCTTTGTTGTCTCCAGACTGGGAGGGGTCTATAGGATGGCACATTGGCCTGGGGGGCCTGGCACCTCCTTCCCTTCAATGGCTTCCAGCGGGCGCCCTGGAGCTCCCAGTCGGCCAGACTTAAGGGCCCAGGGAAGTCTAGAAAGAGGGCAGGGTTGGGCAGGGGACGGCCCTCCCTCCACTGTCCGAGGCTCCTTCTGGGCTGGCCCGGTGTGGGCGGTGGGAAAGGGAGGTGACGGTGGGAGCAGAAGGGCAGCCACGGCAGGAGGGTGGGGTGGAGGGAAGGCATGGGGCCTCGGTGGTGGGCCCATGCTGACGGAGTCCTTCTCTCTCCTCTCCCAGCTGTGGTGAATACCACTGGTGGCGGCGGCAGTGCCCTGACCTACGGGGGAACCAGCGGTGGCAGTGGCCTGGCCTTCGGGGGAACCATGGGCAGCAATGCCCTGAGATTCTCGAGTGGAGCCAACAAGGCCTATTCCATGAGGACCACATCTGCCACTCACGGGAGTGTCTTCAACTGAGCCCCACGTATGGGGAGACCCACATCCCCTCCCCTACAGTCACAAGAAGATTCCCATCCTGGTTCCCTCCATGGTCCCAAAGCTGCAAAGCAATCTGAAAAAATGATGTCAGAATAGCTTCCAATAAATGGTCTCTTTCTGAGGCCTGGGTGAGCCCATGGCCAGCACGTGGTATCCTGGCTTCATTTGGCTGGGCAGAGACGGGGTGGGGAGGGAGGAGCCCTGGAGAGGCCAGGGTCTGCTCTGATAACTGAAAGCCTCTTGTGCAGGAGACCGGGGGTGCTGCTCTAAGGAACTCAGCTCTTACTGAGTTTGAGGCCTTGGCCCCCTCCCAGCGCTGGGGCCAGTTCCAGCTCTTCTGAAGAAGCCCAGCAGCATCCCAGTGAAGTTCTGGCTCTGCCAGGTAGTGGGCCATGGAATCCTCTCCTGCTGAGAGGGCGGCGCTGTCAGTGCATTCTTCAGGCCCTGGCTTCTGGGTGTTCCAGTCAACTCAGATGAACTGCCCTCAGCTCTTCCTGGTGCTTTGTCTGCCAGGGCCTGGGACCCTGGACAGTGAGACCCTGGAGGGGGCTTTCTGGGTCTGGGATTCTGGGGTCGGTACAGTGGGAGGAGGTCTGAATGTGTTTGGGAAGTGGTCAAGTTGGGGTCCCTGTCAGTGGCTCGTTGCCTACGTCTGTGGGCTATGGGATGGTCTGTATATCTGGACCCCTGAGGGCGCGTCTGTGTTAAGCCTGTGCTTAATGGGGCATCCACGTATCAGGTCTGTGTCTTGGGGTCTGTGTAACTGTGTGGTGTGGGGTGTTTTTGTGGTCTATGCTTGGGGGTATCCATCCGGGTTGGACAGCAGCACATAGGATGGGTAGTGGGGAGGAGGTGGCAGGTCTCTGTGTCTGAGCCCTTCAGGCAGTGGTGGTGGTACGTGTGTGGGGCGTGGGGGTCTATCCAGGGAGTGTTGGTTTCTAGGCGGGAGGGGAAGTCTGTATATTCAATCCCATGGGCAGGGATTTTCACATGTTGAGGTGGGAGTGGAGTCGGGGAGTGAAGGAAGTAGACCACTTGGTGTCCCAGCAAAGCAAGTGATGACATCCCCACCCAAAGTGTCAGCAGAGCCAGGCCCTCCCCCTCCTCCCCAAGGCTCCTCCCTGTTGCCCTTCTAGCTCCTGTGTGTCAGGGTTTTGGGGCTGCCAGCCCATGCCCCTGCACCCTTCAGGATGTGGAAGTTAGGCACCACAGGTAGGGTGCCGCAGAGACAGCCCTCTGCCTCTTGGGCTGCAAACAGCTCCTCTGCTGTCTCCAACCAGGCAGGTGTGAAAACTGGGCCAGAAGTCCACATTTGTAAGCACAAATGCATGCAGGGAGAGTCTCCAGGGCCTTATATATGCCCCCTGAGCTTTAATGGAAACATGGAGACCAAGTGGGAGGAGGAAAGGGAGAGGGAACCCAGGCAGCCAAAGAAAGTTGTCCCCTGGGGGACGCAACCTCACTCATTGTACGTGGGTTTATTTATTCATTTATTTATTCCTCTATCTAGGACATAGTTTTTCTGCATTGCTTGTAGAGAGAGGGAGGGAGAGAGGGAGGGAGAAAGGAAGGGAGAGAGAGATAGAAACATCAATGTGTGAGAGAAACATGGATTGGTTGCCTCCTGTATGCCCCTAAACTGGGGCTCATATGCACCTGGAGCAGGGACAAATCTGCAAACCAGGTATGTGCCCTGATCAAGAATCAAACCCGCTACCAACTGAACCACACTGCCCAGGGCTGTGTGCGGGTTTAAAGGGTAAGGGAGGCATAGCACCAGAAACACACCAGACTGGCCCTTGGGCCAGCACTTAGAAGCCACAGGAGTCTGAGCCCAAGTCCAATTCCAGAGCAGCCCAGTTAGGACTGGATTGGTTTCAAGAAAACCAGTCACTCAGACTCTTGGGGATGGGGAGAGCTGCCAAGATGTACCAGCACAGAGAGCCCCACCTCCCTGGAAGAAATGAGACAAAAAGGCGGGGGGTAGCAGGTTGCAAGCGAGAAATTAAGGCAGCAGTGTGGGCAGGTCAGGCTGGCTGGTTCCCGAGGCCCTTCCAGTCTCAAGCCCAGGCGCTTTCAGAGCCCCGGGCCGGCTGCTGGAGTTGGGGCCCGATCACTCGCGGAGCGCAGAGCGGTGGCTGTACAGAGCAGGAGGCACTAGGCAAATCGCACCAGGCGGCCGCTGGGGCAGCTCTGTCCGCAGGGCGCGCACAGTCTGGTGCTCACCGCCAGGTTCCCGCTGCAGGGCGCGCTGCAGGCGCTGCCGGTCACCGGCCGGGATCCCGACACGCAAAGGTCTCCGCAGACAACCCCGCCGCGGGAGCTGCTGACACCTGCGGGGAGGGGTGGGGAGGATAGGGCTTAGTCCCTGCGTGGGCGCGGGGAGCTGGGCAGCGGCTCCTGTCTGCTGACCAGAGCCTGCTTCTCTTGTTCAGAGCTCCTCTTCTTCATTTTTATTCCTGGCTCCCCCTCATACCCGGGCACTCCTTCCTGCAGTCTAACCTCAAGGATCATCCTCGGTCAACTGTTAGCCCAGGCCCTCCCTAAAGGCAAAAATAGCTATTAAAGTTATTGTAATCATTCACTGCCACATTCCACTCCTTCCTTCCAGGGTCTTCAAATTGTGGTTGTATATTTGTAAATAAAGTTTTATTGGAACCCAGCCAGACCTATTTGTTAAGTACTGCTTATGGCTGTAGCTACTTCACCCTTGCAACGACAGACTTTAGTTCAGAAACAGACTGCATGACCCACAGTCTAAAACATTTACTATGTGGCCCTTTAATAAAAAGTTTGCCTTTGTTTCAGAACCCCAAGCCCTTATTTCAGAACCCATAGTATAGATTACTTACAGACATTTACAGCACCAATACCTTCACACAATCTTGTGGGGAAAGAAAAGAGACAAAAATTAATTGGGGTAGTGCAAAGCTTGCAAATTCTCTCCTCCAAGTAATTCTGATGCAATTGAGATGAAAATAACCTGCAAACATGCTCCTGGCTCTAAGCACAGTTTGGAAAGATTGAAGAGACATTCTTATAGGTGTGGTCCTCACCTCTGCTCCTCGCCCTCCAGCAGGCGCCTGTAGGTGGCAATCTCGATGTCCAGGCCCAGCTTGGAGTTCATCACCTCCTGGTACTCCTTGAGCAGGCAGGCCATGTCCTGCTTGGCCTTCTGCAGGGCGGCCTCCAGCCCGGCCAGCTTGCAGCGGGCATCGTTGATGGCTGTCTCGCCCTGCTGCTCCGCCTGGGTCACTGCAGTCTCCAGCTTGGTGTTCTGGGAGGCAGGGGAGGGTTATTAATGCTTCTGTTCTGGATTTGGGGTCAGAGGCCAGACATCCAATGACCACTGACTGTCAGAGGAAGGAGCTTCACCCATTTCTTGGGTCAGGAGATACAAATTCGTGCTCCCAGGAATGCCTTTAATTTTTTAAACTTAACACAAAAATCTAAATTCCTGGCTTCTCTTGAAAAAAATCTAAGCCCACCGCACCTGCGTTTCCATGAGGGCTGCTTCAGAGGAATCTGATTAGCTTGGCCCTTTGTGCTTTCTAGTTTGCCACACCCCAGTGCCTTCAGTGCAGCCTACTTCCTTCACTTATTTACTAACCTCTGGGACATCAGTATGTGATCGCGTATCTAGAGCAGCGCGCCAGAGAGGTGAGATGGCTTGCCCCAAATCGTGCGGTAAGCTAGTGGCAGGGTTGACTGGAGATCCCCTGTTTCCTGCCCCTGAGACCGGTGCTACTTCCTTGGACCCATTATGATCCCAAGACCAGATAAATCCTGGTCATTCCATTCCCCTCCATACCGGCCCCTCCCAGCCCTGCTCCTGTCCTCATTCAGTGGAATGGAGAGCATTTTCCATGGAAGAGACTCGCCTAGTATTTGATGTTTGCTCCTTTCCCCACACTTTGACAAAATGTCAGCCTTGACTCCCCATGCTGTAGGCTTTTCCCCCTACTCTTTCTACACTGAGGGCTGGGCCAGGCTCCCATACCTGGCACTTGGCGTTCTCGACCTCAGCTGTCAGCCTCTGGACCATGCGGTTCAGCTCGTTGATCTCCTCCTTGGTGCGGCGCAGGGTCTCCCCGTGGCGGATCACGGTAGCCTTCATCTCCTCGCACTGGGGGGAAGCAGAAACACTCATGGGACACAGGATATGTCATTCCACTGAGTCCTGCAGCTTGCCCATCTGCCACCCCATCCTGAGAGCTGTCTGCCCTTCCCTTGCCTTTCAGCGTCCCTTCTGCTGGGGTGCTGGGCACTCACCTTGGTGCGGTACCAGGATTCAGCCTCGGCCCGGCTGCGGCTGGCGACATCGTCATACTGAGCCTTGATCTCAGCAACAATGCAGTCCATGTTCAGGTCCCGGCTGTTGTCCATCTTGACGATGACCGAGGTGTCTGAGATGTGGGCGTGCAGGACACGGATCTCCTGTGGGGGCAAGGGAGCGGTAAGAGCTTCTTTGACCAGAACCCTGCTCTCAGCAGCCCACCCTCTCCGTGTTCCCTTCCTCTGCCTCTTCCACAGGCTTGCTGTCTGAAGCCCCAACCTCCAAGGTGAAGTCTCCCCCTCAACCTGGGACCTCTCCATGCACCTTGGACCCAGAGTCCCAAGGCTGAGAGGAGCCCATGTCTGAGGCCCACTGCCTGACTTCAGTCAAGGCCTTCTGTCTGGATCCTTGGGGTCTAGGACCAGAATTTACCAATTTGTGATCATTGTCACCACACTAACCAGGAACACCAGCTTGTCTGAGCCATGACAGATAAGACGTCAAGCTGGACTTTTTCACCTTGTGACAGTAAACCTACCTCAGGTATCTCAGCTCTGCTCCACACTGCCCCCACCCAGGGGGTTCAAAAGCCCAATGGCAGCAAGTGTTTTCTGATGTCTAACTCATATCCCCCCTGCTGCTGCACCGCCCTGTGTTCCCTCTCACCTCCTCATACAGTCGCCGCAAGAAGTCGATCTCCTGGGTCAGGGCCTCCGCGTTGGCCTCCAGGTCTGACTTGCGCAGGTAGGCACAGTCCACGTCCTAGAGGGCAGAGAGTGGCACAAGAGTCTCACTGTGGGGGACAACATAGAGGTCTTCCCACCAGAGAGAGAGAGAACTCCCTGAAGGCCCCTCTCAGGTGCTCACCCC